ACACACACACACACACACACACACACACACACACACACACACACACACATAAGACAGCAACAATTCGTTATGAGCAGAGTCTTTTAAATAGATGAAGATTGAGGGTTAATGGTTGTAAGCTGGGTTCTGCTTTGGCTGTATGGGGAGACAGGGAGAAAGATATTATTCGGATTTAGCACCAATGCACATATTCAAAAAATTGCCAGACTTTGTTTGGGATGATAAAAACAAGGCTTTGAACATAAACATGGATTCTAAGTCATCATCGCCTCTCTCTATCGCTTTTTAAATTATGATCCAGAACACCTCAATTGACTTGCAGTAATTAATTCAGATGCAGACCACGAACAAACACCAGTTTGTTATTGATTAAGTCTGAATAGAAGGCCGTGAGATCTGTCTGAATTGCAATCAATAGAATAATGGATTACAGTGCACTATTAGGCAAGACAAATGCACAAGCTGAGCAGGATGTGAAAGAGATCCAAGTGTAGTTAAGTTACAAGCGTGGAGCTAGATGTTCAATGTACATTACAAAGGCTTGTCAATAGATTGAATTTAGATAGAAAAGCCTAATTTGATTATTTGTCAATTTTCACTCTAAAATTGTGATCAAACATTGTCTGCAAATGTTTCCATTTTGTGTTACAAACTACATAGAGACTTATTATGTGTCTTGAAATGTCAGCAACGATCAAATGTTTTTCAGTACATAGCTCAGATATTGCGTGTCACGCTTGAGACCTTTGAGTCACATTTCAGTCAAACTTGGGTACGAAAACTGTTTGGTGATAATTTTTAAAATTATATGGTTAAATACAGTTTCCCGTAAGAGGGCTTTTGAGCCACAACTCAAATTCGATTTCACACACACATGGATGTTTCAGTTATCTTCTCCAGAATGGTCATATATTCATCATACAGAAAAATAAGTATAAATCCAACAATTTGCTCCAACAGAAAAATGTATCAGTCACTGGTGAGAGTTAAAAAAAAACAACTCACTTGTGGGGTCGTGATGTAGTTCAGGAACCTTCTGGCTTCCTCCTCCAGGGACTGGTTCTCAGAGGCCCATGGCTGCAGATCTATGCGCCAACGTGGGGTCTGTTGATAAAGAGATAAGTGATTACTTATAAAGCAAAAAAGTTAAACGAAGACTGCTAATCATACATTCACAATCTCAAGTGGAAAGTTCAGCTGTGTTTGATACTTGTTGAAATCAGCTGGCTGCTGAATATCCATCCTGCTGAGCTCACATTTCTGGAGTCTGACAGCTTTGCTTTATGGTCTGGTTAATTTTTTTCTGGAGTGTGTCTGCTTATGATTACAGCAGAATGTGGTATGGTGAGAGAACTGTGAGGGAGTGCGGCTGAGCTGATGTATTAGTTGCTTACATAATCATTTCTTGGGTCAAACACCATGGCCGAGTGTTCATTAGTATTCCTGGTATAAATCATCCTCAGTGGAGTCATGATTACCAACTATCCTGCCTTAGCTGTAATTATCAGGCATTTGGGTTTCTTTTCAAATTCCACACGGCTGTGCACAAGTCACTCTTAGCTGAACATTTTTGGTTTGATCAGCTATGGACGCGTCTCATGAGTTACCTGTCGTCATTTGTTTTGTGCAGGAAATGAGTCCTAACCTATTCAATGCAAAAGGCATAGACTCCAGAAAACTATGATGGATGATGTGATGATAATAATAAAACAATGAATATCAATAAAAAGGAAATGCTAAAAAAACAAATGTTGTATATATTGTGTAATCTTATCGATGCTACTGACCTATATTGGACAATCCACATAACTTCGTCAAAAAACTATGTAAATTTCTTGAAAATACATTAAATCATCAAGATATTCACTAAACCTAAACACATTCCTGTCTGCAAGACACAAAGGCATAAATCTGTTTTGATGCCCGTGATCCTCATCCCTCGAAATAGCTACATTTAAAAACAGGCACGATTATGTCATGGCAATCATAGCATGACTGCAGAATCCCCTCCAAAAATAACTGTTTGTTAGCACTGTTCACCGTGCCATCCACTGTTGCAGGATAAATCTTTATCATGCAAAGGCGAAGCCAGTGTAAACATGATCCGTGTCTCAGCTGGGTCATAGCTAATTTAAAATGGACAGAGGCAAAGTGTGAAATTGTTTTGTGCTGGGATTAATCAAATGTTAAGTTCTCCTTGGAAATAATGGATGCCCCCTCCTCCAAACCAAACAGGAGAGTGGCCATCTGGCTTGTTATCAGCACTCATTTCAAAAGCCTGCATCTTTGGTGGTATAAGGTGCATTAGTGGCTGTGGAACTGAACATTTCTGCACATATTTTTAGATGTTGAAATATATATATGATATACAGTACTGGTCAAAGGTTTACAGGACACACTTTTCTATAAATTTTAAATGAGTGAATGTGTCCAAACTTGGAAAGATACTATATGTTCCTATCCAGATAATGGCCTTGCATATTTCAGGAAGATGAGAAAATACTGCATCCTTTACATCAGCGTGGTCTCACTGGTAGAAGAATCTGGGTGCCATCCAGATTTTTCATCAGTAGAAATATTTGTAGAATATGATATTAATAGTAAAATAGCCAACAGTAAAATGTATAATGTTCAACAAATCATACATTTTCTGTAATCTATGGTGAACAAAATGTTAGTTTAGCAAATAAATGTATTGGTTTGTAAAGTGCTGCATTTATAATCATTTCACATTTCTGTAAGAAGTGGATAATTAAAAAGATGTGTGCACACAATGTCAAAATATGTTCGATGATCATGTGCATTCACTGCACATTTTGTAAATTGTTCTGTTGCTTTACCCATGCAGTATCTGACACCACAATGTTTCATTTTGTCCTCCACCGATACTTATCAGAGACCTACCAACATGGAGGAGTAGCTTCCCCTGAACAAATGGTTGGAAAACTTGAGCCACTTTTTTAGTTTCTAGCATTTAGTCGAATAGCAATGTGTCAAACATCTCACCACTTTTCTCTGTCTTATCTTTCTGTGTCCCCCTCTTCTTTACCTTATTTATTAATGTGACTCAACGCCTGTGATGTTTCATATGTCTATTGCTAGTGACTTCACATAAAATTTCCATAGAATTTTTATTTTGACTGGAAAGCAGAAATCTCATCAGTTAAACTTACCATCTGACAAGCAACTACTTTTTAAAAAAAAAAAAGGAAAAAAAGCATGCCATCTCCAGTCAACAGTGTTCCAAAGAGGCAGCAATGAAAGCTGGAGGGTTTACCAAACACACAAAGAGCATGTTAGCTTGGGAGTCAATTTACAAGTAAACAAACAGAATCTACATGTATGCATCCTTGGTAAGCTGAGAGCTCCCAGAGCTCTCTGTTTCTGTTCTGCCCTTTTCATGTGGGCCCTCCCTGCACGGCTCAGCTGTCAGGTACCATACATCACCGCTGTACAAGTTGGGACTGGGCCACTGATCAGAGGCCAGTTATCTGGGACAGTGGACTCTTGGGGAGGCAGCAGTAAGCTGAGGTTGAGTAAGAATGGATGGCAAAATGAGAAGCATGTGAGGTGTGAATTCTGCACTTTACCTGAAAGCAGCTCTGACTTTAAATTGTCAGACTGTCGAATGTTCAATTTCAAGAAGGTCTTTGCACACAGACAGTTATCATCATTCTCTTCATTTGAAGTTATTTGTGAAGCAGAAATGCAATATGTCGCCACCATCACATCAGTTGAGCACAAATACTTTAGATGCCCGTGTTGTTCCATGCATGCATTGTATAATACATGCTCAGTTACACTCAGTTACTGGTGAATCATCAGAGAGCAGTGATGAGATTCATGTAAAGCCCTATGCTTAGTCAAGCAGCAACAAGTCTTTGGCACCTCAGAGATGAGAGTGGAAAGAAGTGTTAATAACAAACCTACAGAGCGGCTCAGATGTGAGGATTTAATCCCACAACATTAGATGTGACCATATTTTTAACATGTTAAATTAAAGCTAAAACTACAGTTTAACTGGAAGAAGTGCCAAAGAAAGCATAGCTGAAATAGACCTGAAGACCTTAATACAATACCTTAAAGGTGAACTACTAAAGGACTGAAAGATGACAGAAGAGAGAGAATAGAGGAAGATGTAATCTAAGTTTGAACAAAAACTGAAAACAAAGTGTAAGGGATGTATGAGTCAGATTAGCTTCAGTGTGTCAGAAATTATTTCTGGTTAGTATGTCATCAGAAATCGAAGCATCAGTGATAAATCAAAACTGAAGCATCAGCTGAATATGAGGTCCAGATAGGAGAGAATATCAGTTCAGGTCTATGGATTCAGATGTCCAGCCAGCTGAGCATTGACCAAAGGAATGGAAAGGATTCCCATTTTCTTGTAAAACACCTTGAACATGATTAACTGATGGGTGTGTAATGAATTAATCAGGACCAGTCAGGCTTAGAGATTGATCTGCTGAGTGAAGTATGTGATCATTTCAGAGCTGGTCAGTTCTCTGACTAATCAAATCTTGGCGTGAGCCTACTTGATTAACTGCATAAGAAATGGTCATCAGAAAAAATACCTTTGCGTTACTCACAAGACTAGATTTAAATGTTCATTTCAACCTGAATACTGAGTAGTTTGAATATCTGTGACCTTTATTTGTCTTCCTTCCATCTAAGCAAAATACAGTTTCATCACACCAAAGATGAAAGACTTATTTAACGTGCTAAGCCTATTAGAAACAATCACAAAAGTCAAAATGCAAGTCATAACTTTCCCTGTGAGATAAAAGCCATGTTAACAGACCAGCACATAAGTGTGTGCTGGAGGAGCTGAATTTTCTTGTTTTCAAGGGAAAAAAAATTAACAAAATATTGGACTTGCCCTGCCCTGCATGTTTGGAAAGAGCTGTTTTTGGATCTGTGCCTCGCAGCCTGGGTGTGTGAGAGGTGTGAGCAGCTAGGCCAAGCATGAATAATCCCTGAGGGTTTGAAGGACGGATGGGTGAACATGAGATGACGGGATAAAACAAGAGAAAACTGTCTGCCAAAAAAGCATGAAGGCGTTCGAGAAAAAAGGTTGGGCTGGGAGGTGGAGCTGAAAATGGACAAAGAGGAGATGAAATATAGATGTGATCCCTTTTGTTGAAATACGGAGGAGCTCCACATCTGTATTTACAGTTTACACCAAGACTGAACACAGTTGATACGTGTGATTAATGACATGTGGGGTTAGCGTGTCAATGGAGACACGGAGTCGGTGCGTCAATAAACAAATAGTTGCCACCCTCTCAAATGTCACAGAGGTCCAAGCCAACAGGTGGGGATTGTCTCCCCCAGTTGGAAAGCAAAAGGCGAATGAAAAGGGTTCTGCCGAGTCAGTCCTGTTCATTAGTAAAAAGCCAGAGGGGCTGACTGACAGACCTAATGCTCTTTTCTTTTGCAACTGCTCCAGTCAGGTTTCCTGCTCTTGTAGAAAAATATTACCAACCTGTGCAGTTGCAAGGTCAAAGCTTTTAGCCAAAAAGCCCATTGATTGGCTCTTAAGAGCGTGCTGATGTTTGAAAAATGTCATTCTTTTGGTTCATGTTTTTTTGATGGCCGCTTGGTTGAAATGTATTGTTTCCTGGTGCAAAATGAAGGTTAAGAAACAAATTACATGTGGACAGACACTTTGTGGTTTAATAAAACAGTCGGTGGCTGATTCAAATCAACCGTTCTTCATTTCATGAAAGGTGCTGATTGTCAGTCATTTTTGTTTCAGTAGCCCATGCCAATGTGAGTCAAGGAGAAAGACTGGGGTCGGCTTTTTGCCATGGAGCCTGGTGTTAAATGAGAAGGTATGAAGTTGTTCAACCACGATGAACAGGTAGTCAAATACAGATAGAAATGTGAATACAACTCCCTTTGTATTTAACCTTGTATTCATATTCATTCAGAAGGATTTATAAGGACACTTGATTGTTATCACACATTCATTGTACAGGAAAAAATAACTGTCAAATAAACTTCTGCTCTTGGTAGAAGTGTAACATCCCTCTCTGAGCATTCAGGGGAAAGGGTGTTGTATTCACTGTTACTTTATCATTAACTTTTTTCCATTTCAAAAC